TAGTCTAAAAGCTGTGTACTTATTTTGTTATTGTACATACGAGAGTTTTATTTATCAAAAATTAATACAATGGAGTACCCTGAGCATATAGAAAACCACTTGTTTCAAACAAAAATATTTACAGTTATGAGAAATGTGTATAGTAATGACCATCAGTACCTACCCGACCTTGATGGATAGCATGATCCTGCTATTTCCGTAATTCTCTGAGGTTGGAAAATGATGACACATTATTAAGCAGCCTGGAGAATTTGTGGGGTGATGTGTTGATTAAAAGATTTGGAGATATTTGTAATCATGTTCGGATACCACGGAGATCATTGGGTTGAAAGTATGGGATTCTGTTCATTTAGACAGTTTTAACTGAGAAAGAGTGTATGAGCTCATCCCATCCATAATAAGCCTGAAAAATAGGTTTTTGTATGTTGGTTAACGTGTGCTTTGTGCTTGCTGATTTATCTTGAATTACGGTCTGAATTGTCTTTGGTTGAGGGTTTGTGTTTTAGTCTAGTTGGCTATCATGTAAGTCAAGGTATCAAGGAAAGAGCTCTATGTAGAAGTCAAGGTAGCTGATTTGGTTACATTATTGTAAATTATAAGTTAAATTGTTTATGTGTGGTGGGCACTTTTGCTCCCCTTAATGCGCCACTTCTAACAAAATCTATGGGTTTTGGGTTGCTTCAGCAGCTAGGGTATGGTGAGATGTGACGAAAATATTGTGCAGGGTCCGGTTCTCATTTGAGTGGAGATGGCATATCAGCGGTGTAAACTGTATAGGTCCTAGAGTACGTCCTTACCGAACACCGGCCTTGGTTGGTTTGATATAGAGAAACTCTGTGCCTTTTCTCACCTTAAACCAGCGGTCGTAGAGAAAAGCCATAAGGTGTGTGAATGAATATTTTTTAATTTAAAAAAAGAGATATGGGTGTGAACTCTGATGCTTCTATGACGCCCAGAAAACCGTTTGGCAATAATGCTTGTCTTGTAAGAATATCGAGTGGACTCTTAGGTGGGATCAAAAACGTTAAAAAAAGATTATTTTTCATTGAAAGAAAAAAATGAACGGACGGTTTTTGTATAATAAATATGATCCAATCAAACTAAACTAACAAGTACTCGATTCAGTGCTTTATGAAAGTCATACTGGTCTAACTGCATGCAGAATAGAAAATCGTGCTGTGCGGAAGTGGGAAAATCGCCGATCTGAAGGGGTTAACAAATCAAATAAAAGTAATTTTTAAATATATATTTAATGTAAAAACATTGCATGAATCAAACCTTGGAAGAAACACAATATCGTCTCAGTCGTGGAGTTATGGAATGAAATAAAGAAACCGAACGTCTTGCTAAAAACGGACCAAAGGTTTCCCCAAGGACCAGACCCTTTTTGCAAAACTCCTGAAGTTTTCTGAAGGGCATGGTCGTAAGTATGAGAAAACAAAATTCCCGATATTGGAAAAACACCTCCAAGGAAAAGCGGTTTATTACCTCATTCCTTTATAAATCAAACGCTATTCCTCAGTAACAATCTTGACGAAGATCATCAAGAGAAATGATGATTAAGAAACGTGAATGTGACAAATACTACTTCAATATTGAGAGGCTCCGGGTCACATAATATAAATCTTAATAAATAAACGTATTCATTGCTGAATGAAAAAAATGTATACATACATAAAAAATTAAAGTACGCGTTAATTTATAATTTGAGAAGGAAAGCTAGTGAAAGCAAGATAGGGATGAAAAGTTAGAGAGAGAGAGAGAGAGAGAGAGAGAGAGAGAGAGAGAGAGTGAGAGAGAAGAGACAATTTACAACGAAAATATCTATATAATAATAAAGAAACATGGAATCACAGAGAATAAACATAATTCGAATTTCCAATCTGATCATTAAAACTTTCATGTACTTCTGCTGTCCGGAAAACGTTGAGGTATTGATTTCTAAGAATGTATCGCAACTTTAAGTCCTTCATTAATCAAGCCGAAAAGCTTAAGAAGTCGTGTTTCACGAAGTTGATTTTCACACTCTTTTCGAAGCAAGGCATCTCGATGAGTGTTAACAAAAAAATAATTTCCCCCTTTGCCAGAACACCTTCATCGAAACTTGAAAGGTGAGCAATTTCCACCCATCTTAATTTTTTTGTAAAATGTTCAATACCGTTATGGTTATGAACTTTGCCTATTAGTGCTATAAATGCCCCACTACTCGTGGCATTAATTAAGCTACTCATTTCCTACTCATTTTAAACAGGCTAGAAGAGAAAAGGTGTAATTTATTTTCTTATTTTCACTTAATTCCTCTAAAGAGACCACGCGATTCAGGCAAGTTAATTATCCTCACGCTACTACTTAGAACAAGAAATAGAAGAATCTAATTTTAACAACTTCACTTCCTTATGATACAAAAATAACGAGAAAATATCGAAGCCTCGAATTTTCTGAAGGACAAAAATATGTTTAAGTAATGTTTAAAACAAAAGTTTTAGTAAAGCAATTACAAAAACAGTAAACCCTTGCAATGAATAACATTAGCTTGTTAAATTCGAAAAAAAATTCTCTGGAAAGTATATTAAGCACAGTGACCGGGTTGATCAGGATTTAATCAATGCTCCACCACTCGCGAGTAATAACAATAAATTTGGCATAAAATCTATGACGATGCTCAAAATGACGTAATCTTGGTCTAATAAATAGCGTGAAAAATGACTTGAACTTTTCTAAATAAGCGAGAAATCCATTAATTATTCTTCCGAAGAGGGAAGTATACAGAAAATGAATAATGATTTCAACCAAATCACTTTCAGATGACGTTAGATAACGTGTAGCATACGGAATTCACGGGATTTAGCTCAGTTAAAACTGCAAATGTCACGAGCTCGCTATTAACACGAGGCGTCTTCTGCCCCGATAGCCCAAGTCCAAGTGGAATGTCCTGCGTAAGCTCTTTTGTAGCTCATCCCTCTTTTTCTAGCATACCCTGATGAATTATCGCCCACTTTGTGTCCACTTCACAATCTTCCCGTCCCCACATCCTTATTCCCCTTCCTTATTTCCTTCATTTGATCCTAACAGTTTCTTCTTTTTAGATATTTCACTCCACGCAGGGAATATGCTTTCATTATGGATATTCGTACTAAGGCAATTGGTATATCCGTAAAATCATCAAAGTACAGGCACCATTTATCCATCCTGTCCTACATATCTACAATTTTTGTTTACAAAATCCCCTTTTTCCAAAATCAACTCTTAAATAAAATTCCTAATCCCACCTCCCCTAATGATTTTATCCAATATCTATCCTCTCTATAACGTTACTTAACACCTTGAAAAATTAGTCTATTTACAACCGTCTTCCTACTTAGAAAATTCACATATCCTTGTCCCTCTCCAATCTAGTTTTTTGTCTAGTTGGTTTTAGCCTCGTCCTGGCTTTTCTACACAATCCGCTGTCTCAAAATTCTTGACTGATATACAGGCTGTTGACCAAGGTAAAATCTTTGTTCTTCTGATCTTCGCTAAAGCCTTTGATACAGTAGATCATTCTCTTTTTCTTGCTAAACTCAACATATTATCCTTCTGCTGTAGTGTCTTCCTTTGGTTCCAGTCTTTTCTTCCAGATCGTGCCCAAGTATCAAGTAGTATCCATCCCAAATAACCTCCCTCCCATCATCTGCATAAACCATCACGTCTGGAATCCCTCAAGGGGTTTTCTCTGCTTCACTTGTTTGCAGTAGCATTAACGATTTCTCTAATTTCATAAAATATTGCTGCCATCATCTATATGCAGATGACTCCTAAATTTACCTTACCTTTTCGCTTACTGACTTACAAACTGCAAGAATTCAGAAGGACTCAGACAGGAGGGATTCAATTTAGTCCTGAGCGATTGAAAATGGGTTTAACCTGAATGTAAAAAAGTCTTAGGCCATTTTATTTGGATCCCATTCCCTACCCCAATACTTTCCTTTTATCCCTCCGTTTACCGTAAACAATCATATTTCTTTCTGTCTCAATGTCAGTTCCGTCGTTCCAGTCACCTTCTCCCCACTGATACCCGTAAACTTTTAGTCTCCTCTCTTTTTCCCAAACAATTTGACTATGGATGTTTGGGTGTATGGAGGAGCTCACTGGGAAATTTAAGCACTTAATGAATGCTTTGTTTTCGGCTCGACAAGTCACCAAGGAGGTTCTCACGTGATTGATATTTACTCTGGCTTGAAGTGGTACCTTCCCACCGCAGGCTTCCTACTTTGGCTTCTTCTCTACCAAACAGTATCTTCCCCTCCTCCCATCATATGTGACCTCCTAACCTTTAGCTCCTCGCTCCACTGCCGCCATACTCCAATTATTCTGATTTCTATCCTCCGAAACACAGAACTACCGCTTTCAGTCGATACTTCCCCAACCGTTCTTCAAACCTCTGAAATTTCCTTCCTCGCTCTAACCGCTATAACCTCTTCCCTTCCCACCTTTAAATCGCGTCTATTTGATTAGCTTTTGTGATTGCAACTTAGCACCAGATGCTATAATAGATAGATTATTATTAAATATTTTATATTAATAAACTTAATTACCCGTTTTAATTTTATTACAGTACATTTTTATGTTTACAATTTTGTAATTGTATTTCGAAACTTTGGAATTGTAATTGCTAAGCGCTATTTTAGAGTTCTGTTATTCAAGACAGATTTAAGCCTCAGAATAATCTTTTTCATTCTTTCTTTTTTTTCTTAGAAGTATCTTATAAAAAATAAACCAAATATCTAGTTACTTAGTATTCTTATTACTATACAAATTCAATCAAAAGAACTGTTTCGTTTTATCAGTAAAGCTTGTCTTGCATTATCATTTATTTTATAAATTGCAATCCTTTTTTCACTGAATTTTTATATTATTTTTAATATATAATATTTAAAAATATCTAAACTTTGTATTTAATATGTATTTTGTGTGTTTCAGGTATGTACTCTCTGGACCATTATCTTTTTGTAAGGTATGTAAAATATTGAGAGCTTAATTTTCCTAAGAGCTTGCAACACGAATATCCAGAACACAATCGTTATACCTTCTTAATTGTTTTTACGATCACATGTTTTAAGAAATGCAAGTATACATTTAAAATAAATCAGGTAGTAATTTTTACTTAAAAATGTCCCGTAATCCAGAGGGTAAAAACATGAAAAATTCGGAATTCTTATACGGTGAATCGAGCTTCGACTGCCGAGAACGTTCAGACAGGCAAGATCTGATACGTAATTTAAGCCTTGCCCACGAAATGGCACTGTGCGATAGGGTCTTGGCAACATCATCAGCTGCCTACGATGCCAATTCACCACTTCGGAACTCGATAAATGTTCAAATGCACCAAGATTTTTGGCGTGCGTTCCAAGAGGAATTAGACCGGGTCCCAACCAAGCTAGACACGGCTTTCGTACTTTTAGGAGAAATTAGGAAAAAATTGCTCTCAGTGATGACTCCAAACGTGAAGAAAATGAAGGCCGATGTAAACAGGATCCTTGACCCGGAAGACATAAAGGCAAAAATCGAAAACGGGACGTTCGTGTTGGAACAATACGCCAAATATTTGTTTTCTGTTATGAAACGGCTCTGTGCCCCGATTCGCGACAATGACATTTTGAAATTGTCCCAGGTGAGAGATCCTGTCGCGATGTTCCGAGGCATAGTCGAGATTCTTGATTTAATGAAACTTGACATGATCAACTACATGTTGTCGGGAATTAAGCCATACGTTATGGCCAACGATGTAGATTACGAACGCACCAAGTTCGCCGAATACATATCACGGTTCTGTAAAGGCCTTCCAATAACAAGGGCCTGGCTAGAAAAATACAACAACCCGAATAACGATATGAAGAAAATATTAATTGACGCTTACATGGGCCTCTTGACCTGGCCGGACGACTCGTATCCGGAAACGCTCGTCTTGGATTTCCCAAAACTCGCATATTTGAAACACGAATATTATTTAGTCGTCACTCTATCGTCGATAATGTTGATCGCTTGTTCGTTATTTCCTATTAAACTAGACGAAGACCAGGAAACGTGCAAAAACATGAAGGCGAAAATTAAAATGCTGTTGACCGAGGTGAACGACGACGCGCTTTTGCAGAAATCAATCCCGCACATTGTAGAACACATCCAAGTAGACGCCGACAGAGCACTCAAAAAACACGGGAAGCCGACATTGACCCAGTACGACCTAAAAGGATTGGCGAGCCAGCTGGAAACTCTCGTCTTGCCGAACAACAAAATCAAATCCATTGTCAGACTCCGCGTCGATGGCTATTTGAAAAATACGTTAAACGGCAATGAAAATATCGACATGCCGACGTCGCTGGGCTTTGTCAAAAAAGAGTTGTCAGCTCTCGGCTCACAGTTCGCTTACCTTGTAGGTCATAACTTCAGCGTTTGCTCCCATCATTATGCAAATATTCTCGAATCTTGAATTCTGCACCTGGGAAAATATAGCCCTGGAAAAGCGGCATAATTTGTTTTTATATATTACGACTAGCTTATAATTAACTAACACACACGACAAACATAACTTTTAAAACGTTTTATATTTTGATTTGAAGACAGTCAATGAAAAAACATATTTCCTTTTATAATAACTCATGTGCCATACTATTCTACAAATGGTTTTACTATTAAAAACGATTTTATTTTTAGAATTTATTGCATTGTTAACATATTTGATCAAACAACCCTAATAATGGTAAGCGTGACGATAAGCTTTAAAAAAATTAAAATTTTTATTAATACGTTGTTAATGGAAAGTTGACTACACCAAAAATAAAATAATTCAAGGTACATTAAAACTTAAGGTTAAAACTTACATTAAATGATGTTTTATTTAAAAAGTAAGCTAACTTAATGAAAATATTTGTTTCGGGCCTATCTAGTTAATGCTTTATTAATGAAGCAGTTCTGAATTATTTATTCGAATTAATCAACTGAAGGAAAATCAGCCAACAAAAATGAGGGCATCAATTAATTAGTTAAAATTCGAAAAGAAGACCCACAATACGCGTGATTATTGTTGCTACAAAAATTCTGTAAATTTTAAATTGCTTAAACGATTTCTTAATCTCACAATCCATAGTGAACAATACACAGGAACTAAGGATAAAAGACGGCAGAATTCCAAAGAAACTCCCCTTACCACCACAAATGATTTTATGTTTAAAAAAAACACGTATCCTCTATAGTCGGGTCAGATACATTTTTCGCTACCAGAACAACCCGGCAGATCCTTTGAACTTCATTTTATAATTACCTCTTTGATGTGAAACATACATTGACAGTCACACCTTCACTTGTTCAAACAGGTACGGGATATTATATATCAATATGCTTAATGCTAAAGTTAATAAAATAAACAATAAATCAGTTTTTAACTGGTATTATTTGCTTAGCTTTTTGCTGATCACGAACAATTTCAAAGGAATGTGTCGTGAAAATTTAGACCTCTTCAACATTGTCCTCGTCTTCATCAAATTCGCCGGCTTCTTCTGCCGTTGCGTCCTGGTATTGTTGATATTCAGATACCAGATCGTTCATGTTTGATTCAGCTTCCGTGAATTCCATTTCGTCCATCCCTTCACCCGTGTACCAATGCAAGAAAGCTTTCCTCCTGAACATGGAAGTGAATTGTTCTGAGACTCGTTTGAAGAGCTCTTGGATAGCGGTCGTATTGCNTGTTCGTCGGAAATAACTTCCCAAAACTTAGCTCCAACTTGATTGCCACACTGGCCGGCTTGGATATGACAAATTTCTCTCATTGTAAAACGACCTTCTGATTGTTCAGATCAAATTATCTAAATAAAAACAAACAAAATGGAGTGTCAAGTCAAATAGTAAGTTTAATCATTGTTAACATATGGGATTTATGTTTTTCTTTTTTTGTTTTTAAAATAAAAAATATGACTTGTAAATTGTTCAGTATGTAATATTTTTAAATAAAAATACCATATTTTTTACAAACTGCAATTGGAATATACTTTCCAAAAATTTTAAATTTAATTTTTATTGATGATTTTGACATTAAGCAAATTAATTCATGCTGGAACAATTCTAAAACATATAACGTAATGCACCAACCAGTGTGAACTTCAAAAACAATAAATTTGTTTTACTTAAAAGCAGATAACCTTGTAAAATATGAAATTTGTAGGCCAATTGAAGTCAACTAAAATAACAGGAATAAAAATAATAAATTGGAAAAAAAGACAAGTTGCTACTTACATTTTGAAATTTCTTGTATAACTGTTTATCTTTCGACAACGTTTATAAAACTTCTGTTTATAAAAAACCTAAAAAACACTCTAAAGACATCAAAATCTGATGCTTTACATTAACATTTTACACTATACTACAAAATACAATTATACTGTCATATTTATTTCAATTTAATTTTGTTAAACACCAGCCGTTTGATGTAATTTTATAAAATGATGTTTTTTTAATAAAAGCAAACAGTTTCAGATGTTTTTGTTGCTTTCCAATTTTGATGTTATTTGCACATTTAATTCCGCGTATTTTACATAATCTAAAATAATAATTGATAATATCAATTGCAGAGAGATTTAACGTCGGATATTTTATGAGATGTCATTTTGTTCTAGATTTTCATAATGAACTTGTTTTTTCTATTAGTGAGGGATGAAGGAAATTTAAAAAAAGGAAAAAACTTAATTTCTTGAATTTTTCCAGATAACGTTATTTTTTGGTTTATCTGACACAGAACGCTTTTGCATACCAAGTACAACTTATATGTTTTGAGTCAATAGATGTGGCTGAATTACATTTATTTATTGTATAGTCAAATGGATCCAGTGATCTTCTTATCAGAAAGTAAAGAAGCGAATGTGAACTTTTACGGGTTTCACAACAACATTACTAGCCAGTAATCAATAAGACATGTAGGTAAAATGATAACCACACTATTTTAGAAGATGAAAAAATGTAAGGTTCAGATGTAATCTATACAATATTTTATTCAAAAAATAATTTGGTAACTAATCACGAATACAAAAAGTAAATTGTGAAATTGGAAAAAAATACGGAACGAATTAACGGATATGTGAGAAATATTTTAGAAAAATAGAAGTTGAAAAACAAGGAAAGAAGATGCATACATATACTTACTGTAGTATATACTTTACTATACTTAGTAGTATATAAGTTTTATAGTGTATAAAATATTTTACTTCCTACGTTTTTCTATAAATATTACGCAAATTTATAATATTTTTTTATAAAATAACATATTGAACTGAAAATGAGATTGAAAAAATATTGTTTTGGAAAATAAAACTATAAAAATTAAAATAAATTTAAAAACTGTATAAGCAAAATGGATTTTACAAATATATAGTGCTTTTAACGAGGGTAGACTTGCATATATTTTTAAATAAATACCAATACATTCAATCATACAAACACCACATGTAAACCACAAAATAAATACATAATCCAAAAAGTATTATCCAAAAATAAAGCAGAAACCAAATGTTCTAGAGTTTCATCATTTAACACGCCACATGCCATAATTAAATGTAGGGAGAGACATAATTATACATTCCCCGGAAACTATATCTAAAATGTAAGTACTAATTTATCATAAATTAAAAAAATAATGAAGACCAGTAGTCAACATATATATTTTGGTTGATAATCTTTTTTTCAGTTTTTTGCTTGTATGCGTGTGATAACGGACACGTACCTATGTCGAAAAATTAGACCTCATCTACATTGTCTTCGTCTTCGTCAAATTCGCCGGCTTCTTCTGCCGTTGCGTCCTGGTACTGTTGATATTCAGATACCAGATCATTCATGTTTGATTCAGCTTCCGTGAATTCCATTTCGTCCATCCCTTCGCCCGTGTACCAATGCAAGAAGGCTTTCCTCCTGAACATGGAAGTGAATTGTTCTGAGACTCGTTTGAAGAGCTCTTGGATAGCGGTTGTATTGCNTGTTCGTCGGAAATAACTTCCCAAAACTTAGCTCCAACTTGATTGCCACACTGGCCGGCTTGAATATGACAAATTTCTCTCATTTTGAATCGGTCTTAAAACTTCGATATTCCAAACGTTCGGTACAAATTATCTAAACAAAAATATTACTTAAATTAGTTTAGTAAATCTGTCTGATTATCGTTAATTTTAATTTTTTTATTTTCTTACAATTGTTTTTCATTATTTTAATGAATTTTTTATTCTAATTTGTAATTGAAATGTGATTTCCTACATTCTAGCTCTTTATGGTTTATATATTTTTGCTTATTATTGTCATAAATTAATCATATATGTATTATTATAAATTACATCATAACTGATAAACATGATAATTAAAAGCAGAAATATGTGTGACAAAATTCTTAAATACAATGCTACGAAGACAAAAGGTATTTCATTTACTATGCTCACGACTAACGTCACGTGACATCGCTGAAATGTTGGTTATCGTAAAACATCCTAATCTTGTTTGTACAAGTTAGCTGGCAGTCTACTAAATTTACTATTTTGACGTGCTGATCATTTTTGCCTTCGATGTTTCCTGATGTTGGACAAAGTTCAACATGGTGAAATTTCAGTTTAGCTGAATTCCAACAAAGGGTGAGAATGTAAAACCAGAGAAATAGAGCAATCATGCATAACTGATTCGAATTATTACAGTAAGCGAAAGTAATAATTGTTTTCACAATCTAAAAATGGCCTCTAGTCGGTCGTTAGTTACTTTTATGTTATTAGTTGTAAATAATAATGAATAACATGTTCATGCTAAGTAGCTTTTTTTTCGTAACAATTATATATAATTATATAACAATTATATATAATTATATAACAATTCGTATATGTGTTCAAATTTGGGGGGGGGGGGTTTATTGTGAAAATTTATTGTGAGGCAACGGTGGGAATCGAACCCACGACCGCGGCGTGAGAGTCTCTCATGCTTACCACTCGGCTACCGCGGTCGCCTGCTAAGTAGCTTAGGTCCACAAATAAACAATAATATAAAGTAAAAACAGAATCGCCAATACATACGCTTTTCTCAGTAATGTTCTGAGCGCAGACCTTCAACAAATCTTCCAAAATCTCTAAGAAAAACCAATAAGTTATCAATGAACTGACGCTGTAACGAGTAATCAATAAAAATTGATCATATTGTACTTTTACATCAGCCGTTTGTTCAACTAAAAATAATGTTAATATGTCCGCTGATAATCGCAAATGTTTTAAAATTATCATAATGAATTCAATCTGTGGAAAAGGATGTGGGAAAAATAATCACCCTTCCTGCTATAACAGATTTACATAAAAATTTCTGCAAGCTTTGAAAAATTATTGACCTCGGTTTGCCCAATTAATTTAATAATTATTTTCAAAGTACCCTTAAGTCGTAAACATTTTAGCTTTAAATATAACGCAATTATGTGTTTTTCTCGTTTTTCTCTTTACAATCACATTATTTTCATAACTTT